GGGCTGGGCTTATGCTTTCAGGCTGCCCTGTCTAGTACGCCGTATCTAGGTCGCCCTGAGGGGCTTCCTGGTCACCAGGATATCCCCTCTTGCTGAGGCATCGAGCGGGAAGTATAGGTGGCATTTGCGAGAACCTTCTTGTGAAATGCTGTCTCAGGCAGTGCTCCTCTCATCTCAAGAGGGTTATCTTTGAGCTTGCCACTCCCCGTTTGGCTCAGTACTTCCGGGCATCTGTGAGCAGATGCTTGGGAAGCTCTTAAATCCATGCTATGGTAAGTGCACACGCTAAGCTTCGTGCACTTTCTGAAATCCACATGGTGGTAAGTGTCACCTTATTGGGACAATAAGGTGGCATCCCTCCCTACACCTACCCTAACCCTACCCGATACTTTATTTTCAACTTTTTGATTATTTCCTTCATCTTCATTGAAAATAAATTTCAATGTTACATTTTTCTGATGTGATTTGAAATTTGAAAAGGGAGAAAAAAGTTTGCCAAAATGTGGATTCGAACCCGGGTCGATCGTGTCAAAATGAGCAAGTCACACGTTTTACCATCTGCGCCACTGGAGCTGATGACTGTTGGCTGTCTTTTGTGTAATGTTCACTAGCCGAATCACACGTTGGTGGGCGGAGTTCGTGTAAATAGACTCTGCCAACAAGGCGGGCTATTTGCACTTAGTGTAAATAGACACTCCGAAAAAAATCAAGCCATTTCATGTACTCTTGGGGGCCCCCTGGTGGCCACGGGGCCCTAAGCAGCCCCTTAGTTCACTTATGCCTTGGGCCGGCTCTGGGCAAAAATCAAGCTTAAATGGATTAGACTCACTGTTAAAAAAAAAACCTTTTACAACTTAATGCTGCCTTGAAATTTAAGCTTAGTCAAATTGAAATATGAAGTTGGTGAAAACGTCTTAGGTTACTTATGTAACCATGGTTCCCTCAGTAGGGAACGAGACACTGCGTCCTCTAGGTTTCTTGCCATGCTGCGGATGCAAGCTTCAGACGAAGAAGTGAATGATGTGTAGCTCCCGGCGCTTATTTATACTATAGTCGCACCGGTAGTGACGTCATGGGCTGTCGCCGGCCAACATGTTGTTGGTGTTTTTTGAATGAATGCTTCAGACACGGGTCACGACGAGGCGTTCCCCATAGCGGCCCCTAGAGGACGCAGTGTCTCGTTCCCTACTCAGGGAACCATGGTTACATAAGT